GGGAGGGCCCTGAGCCTCGTCTAGGCAGCTCCCATCTGCTAAAGGGCAATTCTAGGACAGGTCCCCAGATGTGAGGCATCAACAGCCAACACTCTTCCCAGGAACTGGGGAATGAGTACCTCGATGCTCGGGAGATGGGGAGATCCTGGGGGCCACACCACAGTACCCACTACCTATGAGGAAACTGGGGCTCAGAGAAGCTAGGTAACTCATGCAAGATCACACAGCAAGTGAACGGCAGAGCCAGCATTCAACGCCCAGGCCACCTGACCTCTCGCCTGTGTGTAAAGAACTTACAAAAATGTCACGGTTGCTCAGTAAGTTACAGCTATTTTATTTTATTTTTTAAATGTTTATTTATTTTTTTGAGACAGAGAGAGATACAGTGTGAGCAGGAGAGGAACAGAGAGGGAGGGAGACACAGAATGTGAAACAGGCTCCAGGCTCTGAGCTGTCAGCACAGAGCCTGATGTGGGGCTCGAACCCACAAACCGCGAGATCATGACCCCAGCTAAAAATGGACATTTAGTCAGTTAAGTGCCCCCAGGCACCTCAACAGCTATTTTATTTGGGATGCTGGTGGTGACAGATCCCTGCCATTGGTTCTCTTCCTTTCAGCCACCTGAGAGCTAACAACGGTGGCCTCAAACATCTTTGTGAATGGACAGTTAAGTGTATTTCTGACTCTGTTGAGCTTCAGAGTTCCACAGATTAAGAGGTTAACCAGAGGATGGAAATTCAAGGTTGGCCCCAAGTACTGAAGTGGGTGCCAGAACATAAATGGGTCCCTGTCTCCTCATTGTTTGAGCTGCTTTAGGGTTTGGACCAATGGAGGGTCCTCAAGGCTTTCTCTTCCCCCGGCCCTGCTTTGCCACTCCTGAGGACCCAAGTGATGGGGTTCCTGTTGTCATGGTTACGGCTCGAAGAGAATGAAGTCAGGGCTGCCTGAGGCTTTCGCAACTTTATGACAAATGGAGGGAAAGGTCGTGTCTGTTGGTGAAACAGGGAGGCCCCCGCCCAGAATCTCCCTTGGAGATCCCAGTTATGTGGCGCCACCTCTACCAGGGTGTCAGAAGGAACTTTACTTTTCAAAAGAGGAAAGCCCAGCAAACTGTATAAAGTCAGCAAGCTAAATCACAGCTAAAAGTCCCCTCCGTCCCCACCTCCCAGCTTATGTTCCCTGAGGTAAGACAGTCCCTGGATGGCAATGGAGTGGCTAGAGAAGAGAGGAAATGTGTGGAGGGCTCAGGCACTGGAAGCCAGAGCCAACATGGGCACCACGATAATGTCCGCGGCACTGCCTTGTCCCCAGGCCCAGCTTCAGGGGCTTCCTTATTCAGCCTGCTCCCTGCTTGAGGCTGCAAAATCTACTCCCAGGATGGCCCCAGAGCCTGAAGGCTGCACCTGCAGGGAAAGTGGGGGCTCTCAGTGACCATCCTCCGGCTGGGAAGCCAGAGCCTGCAACCCACAGAGGGAGATACCTGAGCAGTGAGGCGGGTGGGCGACACTTGTCTGGAGCCATGACCATGGTGCCGTGGGGGGACCAATGTCCCTCCAAACCTCCTTTCCCTCTGCATGACCTCTATTCAAAGACAAGAGAACTAGAAGTTCATCCCCACCTCCTACTTCTCTTTTCATCATCTGGTGCCTACAGCATTCTGAGTGCTTCTGGCACAGGGAGCCATGCATCCCTTACAGTCGCTCTGTGACGATGCACTACCTTTATTTCTATTTGGCAGCTTTGGGAACTCAAAACACAAAGAAATACCTCACCCAGTGTCCCAGAGCCAGGAGGGTGTGAGGCTGAGGTACCATCCTAGGGACCCATGACCCTAGAGCTCATGCTTATGACCACCAGGCTACACACCCTCTCCTTCCCAACAGAGAATTGGCTGCCTCTTCCCTGGGATGGCTGGACCCCTCATGAGGCAAAAACTCCCAGCTCCTCTCTCCTTTCTTTACTCTCCTTAAGCACCAGGCAGGACTAGGTCGCTGTGACCAACACTTAGCAACACCCCACCCCACCCCATCCCCCGCCACCAAGCCTGTGTATCTCCCTTTGGAATGCCCTGGGATACTTCAAGAGGAAATGGGGACGCTCAGAATTTTGACCTGCACTCAAGTGGATTGTGCTCTTCTGAAAGGAAGCATCACTGATACTCGGCCAAGTAAAAATTGAGGCTGTTTGAATTCAAGGGAGGGGGGTGTAAATTTCCTGGAAAGCAGGATAGGGTACGGATTTCAACAGGCTCACATAAAATAAACTGAAGAGTGTTAGAGGAGGTTATGAGACTTCTATGACTTTATAAACACAACCGTTAGCTAATCATTAATGAATCCCTAGTTAACACCAATTAATCATTAAGAAACACAACCATTTATCAGCCCAGGAGGCCTCAAAAGCAGAGCAATGTTAAAGCCCAGTATCTCACCATAAGTAACATACATGAAATCTATTCTTTAAATCGAAACTCTGAAACACAGCCAACCACAGTCAACTCATCTTCACCAACTGAAAAATTTTGCATTAAGTCATACTTTCAGTGACACCTAACAGAACCCGGAAAGGAAGCAGCTGTAAGTGAGCCCCTCTCTGCTCTTTTCAAAGGCCAGAAGATGTCACAAAAGATAATATTGCTCAGGAAGGTAGAAAACGCTGAAGGTCAAGTGCAGTCAACATACCAAGTCACTCAGTACTCAGGGGTACTCCATGCCAGCCATTGTAGCAAGTCCAATGTAGAATCAGAATGTTAGAAGACAAAGCTCCTGTTTTAGAGCCATTTGTGATTTGATTGGAATCTTAAGACTCACATGTGGGTGGAAATAAGAAAATAATAGTATACATAAGTAAGCAGAGACTGAGAGATGTCATAAAAACTCAGGGAAAGGGGTGCCTGGGTAGCTTGGTCAGTTAAGCTTCTGACTCTTCACTTAGGCTCCAGTTATAATCTCATGGTTTGTGAGTTCAACCCCCACATCAGGCTCTGCCCTGATGGCATGGAGCCTGCTTGGGATTCTCTCTCTCCATCTCTGCCCCTCCTCTGCTCACACATACTCTCTCTCTCTCTCAAAATAAATAAAATAAATATTAAAAAGAGTTTTTAAAAAAAAACTCAGAAGGAAAACATGGGATATCAAAGGGGCTATGAAAACAACAAAATGGTGGAGAGGCTGGTAGACCTTTCATTCAAGGAGGTGTAAATACAGGCAGAGCAGTGACAGCAAGAAGCATAGGGACCAATGCTGGAGAAGACACAGGCTTTCTTGGAGAAAAGACCAGCTTTTCTGGGGAGAAGGGGACCTGAAAGCTGGGTAGGTAGGTGAGGTCTTAAGTCAGAATTTGTAATTGGTTCCATGAGGTAGGAGGGAGCCGCTATGTTTTCTTTGGTAGCAGGCCACATTTCTCAAGCAGGCTCATGATGTGTGTAACAAAACCAAACCAAAAACAGTGCTTTGGGAAGATTAATCTGGAATCTGAGTGGTAGGTGGGTGAATTGTTAATGAGAGGCCAATACAGAGATAATCTCGTCGCCCAGGCACAAATTAATAAGAGCCTGTAATAAGAGGGATAGTAAGACTGGGGGAGAAGTAAGGAGTCTAACAAAAGGAGAAAGATAGGATTTGTTGGCTGATTAGTTGAGGAAGCGGAAAGGGGATTAAAACTAGGAAATAATAGTGTCTTTGACAAGGTAAGTGGCTTTTTCCATACTTGGAAATAAGAGAGCTCTGGGTCACGGAACGGAGTTAAAATGGAGAAGTCAGGGAGCTGGTTTGTGGGAGTAGGTGATACTTAGTGTGAGGTGGGGCCTCCATGCTAGAACTTGGGTTAGATCCCACCATCCTTCCTGACTACAGACACCCCTGTCTTTTAGTTGACCAATATTAATACAAAGCCAATGGATGCACAGAGCAGAGGTTTTCACTGGGTTACTCTAGTTCCACAAAAGCATCTCTTTGTTGTTTTCTATGTGTGTGTTTGTTTCATAAAATCCTATGATTGAAACAAGCAGTCATCTTGATAATTTCAAGAGACACTGGAGCTACCAGGGTTTGAATCAAAAGCCAGCAAATGGCCAGAGAAGAAGAAAAGCGTCCAGGCCTCTTTGCTTTGGACCTTCTGAATTTCCTCTCCTTATAGTGTCACGTGTCCTGACCACGCATAAGTTCTGCTTAGGATCGTGATTCCAAAGAATTGGAATATTTTGCCCAGTTTCTGAAATCAGAGTTTTTTACCACACCCTACATTTCAGTTAAAAATCTCAAACATTCATTAGCATCCCCAAAGGATGTGCTATTTTTAACTTTTAAGTCTGAAACTACTTTTACATCTTCCCAAAAAATTTTTCTTGTTAAATCGATTTTTCTCCCATTCATTCACACTTCATTCATCAGAATGCGGTCAGCTGGGCTAGAGAGACAAGAAGGAATCAAGTCATTGGATTGGTTTGTAAATAGTTGAAAATGTGCATTTGCCATTTGGTTGGGTGATTTATCCTTTAAGATGGAGCCTGAGCCTATAAAAAAATTGAAGTGGTATCTGAACATGGCAAAACTTGTTTGCTTTTCTTAGACAAATCTTTTAGTCTGTGCTGGGAAATGGCATCATTCCCCCCATTGGAAATTATGCTTCCCACACAACATACGCCACTCTGCCTTCCCTCACAGATTTCCCCAAGCAAAGTTCAAAATCCTGCCTGTGTTTGTAGTCAGTCCCCTGGTGAAGCCATTCATTTAGTCTTTCCATTTGAGCTCATCTGAGAACTCCTCCAAGATAGGATCCTCCTTGAAAGAGCGTTTAATGATTAGCTCAAAATGTAGCCACCGAATTAGGTTTCTCACAGCAAATTGTCAAGGGAAAAAGAAAGCCAAAACTTCCAAACGATGAAGAAGGAAGACAAAGAATGGGATTTTGTATTTAATAAAATTCAAAGGTGATATGTGTAAAACCACTGATATTATAGACAAACAGATCGCTTCCTGGTATGGTCATAGAGACTTACCAGATTTAGGAACGTCAAGTATTTCCACTGTCCTCCATTTAGAAAGATTTTGGATTTCCGATGGTCCCCTCCTTGCTGTGAGATGTAGTAATTGAGAAAAATATACCAGCTCCAAACAAGGAAGTGGTATATGCACGTACGAGTCTTCCTCATGGCCAACTCTGACCACGGAGCTGTGAATGTCTCAGGTAGCTGTTCTCTGGTGTCCTTCTCCTTCTGTGGGTCACAGTTCGAGTCCTGTGGCATGCCAGAGAGCTGTAAAATACACCCCTCTGGGATTGGGAGTTCCAACAAGGCTGAATTTTGCTTCTCTCATAGGCTCCCTCCCTGATAAACTTGGGAGACAGGATTATTGCTGGCTTTCAGATCCTTTCCTTTAGATAACTACAAGTAATCCTCAGATTTGCATAAATTCTTAGGCAAGGAGGAAGGCCAGAGCTGCACTTTGCACTGTTTGGGTGGGGTGGGGGTTAAATGGCTTTATTGTGAAACACCAATAAACTAATATTGTCCTGGCCATATTTTCTTTTCTTTCCTTGTCATTTGGACAGAACCAGAAGGTTGGGATAATACTTCTTGACAGATGAGGGAGGATCAGGTCGATGCAGAGAAGAGAGATTACGGGCATGTTTATGGCACAGAGGGAGAAGGAAGGAAGTAGAAAGGGAAAGGATGTTGAAATCTTGCTCCTGAGGACTCTGGGACCCTATAAAACCTGCAACATACTTTGCTCTTCCAGGGAACAGCCCCAAGGCTTTTTTTTCTTCTTCTTTTTTTTTTTTTTTTTTTAGTTTTATATCTATGTCCTAGAGAACCAAAGGTTACCCAGGGCTGCCCTAAATAATTTATTTGCATGGGTATTTTTGTGCTCTGAGAGCATGGCCAAAGAAGCACAGGAAGAAGTGTGTAGCCATGACCCCAACATACCTGAGTTTAGACATTGCCGGGAGAGAGTGAGGGTCTCTGCATTGCCTTAGAGAGGACTAGAATGTGTTTAGGCCAGGCAGAGTTGGCAGAACCGGGCAGTGCTCAGGCTCAACAGAAGGACCCTGAGAAAGTGCTAGAAGTGTGATACCTTGTGACATCACCACCTTGTTTCCCTGGGCAACTGACTCAGAGGGTTCTGAGCAAATCCCCAAGGGAAGGGCTCCCAATGCCGTTCCTAAGTCTGGAGTTGGTGCTGTTGGATGATTTAATCAGGGCTTGCAAGTACTGGGAGAAAGAACTCCAGGCTGCACATGGAGCGCAAAACAAAAACAGACCCACCTCCTAAGAGTCATCAGACCCCAGATATCAGAAAGGGTGGTAGATGGTGGCCGGAGGTGGGGAGAGCAAACCTGAGCCAGCAATAGAGGGTCTTCATTGTAAGTGCTGCCAAGGGAGAGGATGATCTGGCAAATGGTGACATCAAACTCTGTGCACACAACCCCATGGCCTGGGTTAAAATTGCAAATAACAGGGGCATCCCTGGCTCAGTCAGTTGAGCATGAGGGTCCAACTTCCTTCCACTCAGACTGTAACCTTGCACTTCATGAGTTTGAGCCCCACGTCTAGCCGTTGTTGTTAGCACAGAGCCTGCTTCAGATCCTCTGTCTGCCTCTCTCACTGCCCCTCACCTGCTCGCTCACTCTCTCTCTCCAAAAAAAATAATAATAATAATTGCAAATAACAGAAGCAGTTAATGCTTTGCCAATACTTAACATGTGACAGGCCTTGTTCTGAGTGCTTCACACATGTTAGCTCATTTAACAGTCTAAGCACCACTATGAAGTAAGTACTATGATGAACCTCTCACTATTAGGAACCCCATCCTCAGCTGAGGAAATTGAAGCAAGGATGCTTGAAAAGTAGTAAGAGACAGAGCTGCATTCTGCACTCTAACCAGTGTGCCTGACCACAAAGAAACAGTGTTTGCTCTGCAGAACCTCAGACTTCCTTTGCAAATGTTTCTCCACTCCCTGCTGAAGCCCTTTTATTCCTGTCTCTCTCCCATGGGAAAGTTCTCAGGAAAGGATCAGATCAGTTTTGAAACTTGGTGCACATATAAGTTATTGTGCTGTGTCTCCTGGGGTGTTTTCACGGTGCCCGTGATCATGGATTTAGGGGACTTATCCCCTTATACAAAAATCTCAAGCAAAGATCTGCAGATGTGTGAGGATTTGAGGAAAAGAGAGGAAGACAAAGATGCAACTGTCTGGAATATGTATACCCAAAAGGGAGGGTGCCCTTTTAACACCAGGATTTTCCCCCCTGCATTAACCTCAGTGCCCAAACATAAAGCCTTTCATCAATATTGATACAGTTATTTAAATTTGTTTGTAAGCTGCTCAATGTTTGGCACTGAATGATATATATGAGGACTTCTATATAGAAGATATATAACTTTTTAATTCAGCATAGTTTCTTAGAAAATTTTCCACAAAAATGTTGTTGAAAGGAAAATCTACCTTGTGAACATGTTCACATAATAACTTGTACCTGTGGTTAAATAGCCAGATAAATTTTCATGAGGCACTTTGGCCATCCATCTCCTGCTCTGCGAACAGGTAGAGCTTTGGGGAATAACAGCAGTGTTACCATTTAGCTACATGATATTATAAACAATCTTCTGTTACCCTGCCTTTCTCCATTTTCCAAGTATCTTGAGGCTTCACATCATATCCAGGAGAAGCAGTAGAGAATTGTTTCCTAACTGAATAGAAAACTGACAGAAATATGCATTTTTATAGGAAGTACTAAAAATATAAAATAAACATATTTTATCCTTTGAATTGAGCAGATAACTTGACCACTAAAAGCAACATTCTTTGAAACTCTCTACCCTCTGGGAGTTTGGAACACCAGTCTTTAGTGACACAAATATTTATTGAGCAACTGCTAATTGCCAGGTACTTACTAGGCTCTGTGGATACCCTGGGGAATTGGGGGGGGGGAATCCAATCCCTGACCTCATGGAGTCTTTATTCTAGTAGGGGATGTGAACATTAAAGAATAATACAATTGAGTATTAATTTATAGTTATGGTAACTTCCATGGAGGATAATAGCACAGGACCTGGAGTGGCCTGAGGTCAGGGAAGCTGGCCCTAGGAAGCCACACATGAGCAGGGCTGTCCCCCTAGCACCTCCAAAATGCCCCGACTGTTCTACCCAGTCTTTTTTGTGAGCTCCTCTATCTTTGCCAGCTCCTTATGTGTTGGTGTTTCCCAGGGACCTGCCCCAGCCCTCTGTCCATCTCCCTACACACTCACCCTGGTGATACTCCCCACCACAGATCATGGTGTCTGCCACTACTTTCCAGTGGATAACCACAAGTTTTATATATGTATTCCCAGGCCTCTCCCTATCCTTGCAAAGTTTCAAATAGATCTTTCACTACATGTTGGCTATTTTCTGAATGAGTCAGATGCACCTCAAACTCAAGATATCTAAAATGAACTCACCATTGTTCCCCAAACCTGACCTTCTGTCTCTATTCTCTGTCTTAGGTGGATGGCCCCATGGTCCACCTGGGAGTCTTCCTTGTCTCCTCTGTCTCCCTCATTTCCATATCCTGCCAAGTTCATCTCCCAAATCAAGCACAAGTCAGTCTTCTTCTTTCCATTCTGTCTACAGCTGCCCTAGTTCAAGTTTTCCCAATCTCTTTCCAGTACTGTGGTAACTGTCTTCTACCTAGTTTTCCTCTTATCCCCAACTTGGTATTCTCTCCAGCCTCATTTTGGTTTCACATTTCCTCCAACCACACTTGGCTATGTCATATTCCAGACTTTACTAGATACCATCGTCTAAAAAGTTCAGCTCAGCAATTTCCTTCTCTAGGAACCCTTCCCTGAACATCTCCTCAACCAGGCCATATTAAATGTCTCCCTCTAGTCTTCTTAATACCTTATGCCTCTCTGCAAATTTCATGATGATTATTAGTGTCTTAGTCCATTCAGGATTCTATAACGAAAATACCATAGACTTGGTAGCTTATAAACAGCAAAAACTTATTTCCCCCAGTTCTGGAGTCTGGAAAGTGCAAGGTCAAGGTGCCGGGAGATGCAGTATCTCATGAGAGCTTCCAGGTTCATAGACAGTCACCTTCTTGCTACATCTTCACATGTGGGATGGGGTGAGGGATCCCTGTGGGGACTCCTATGTAAAGGGAATAATCTCATTCATGAGGGCTCCGCTCTAAAGGTCTAATCACCTCCCTAGGGTCTCACCTCCTAATACCATCACCTTGAAAGTTAATATTTCAACATAAAAATGTTGGAGAAGCAAAACACTTACTCCATAGCAATTATAAATGAATCTCTTTAACAAACTGTTATCTCCCTGGGTTCAAAGATGGTGTTTTTGGATTCTTAGAGCTCAGCATAGTGCTGGACACACAGTAAAAACTTAAGAAATAGTTGTCAAATACATGAATATATATATATCCAGGCATAGGTGTCTAATGAGCCTTACTGTAAAGCCAGCTCATTCATTAAAAACTTACTATGTTCAAAGTGTTCAGCTGCTTGGTTCTGTGGAGAAGCTGGAACACTAAGATGAATAAGATATAGCCCAGGTCCTGGGCTATATCTAAACAAAAAAAAGTGACACAGAGACAGATACCTAAACAAAAAAAATTTAGCATGATGTGATAAGTACCATAATAGAGGTACGCATAACCCACTAATGGAACCTAAATTATCCTGCACATTTCCTGTCATTCCAAATATACAGAAGATTGAGCTCAAGATAAATGCACTGACTGAATCATGGGAAAACTCCAGATATCATGTAGGAGAAGATAAGGATTAAAGCGATCTCACTGAGCAAAGTAGCCATGGCTACCAGGATGGATAATGGTGTTGCCTTGTAGAGATTATAACCCATTCCTAGGCCAGTCATAAAATGATGAGGTCCAAAAAGCAGGGGCTCAAGCTGGGCTTGAGTCTACTGTGTGACCTTGGGCTGGTGGCTATCAGCCTCACTGGGGTGTTAGTTACCTCCAGGGTGAAATGGGACTTGCAGTACCTAGAGTGGTGATTGTCTTGCTTCCGAAAATCAGGACATACCCTGAGCTAAAAGAGTAATTGACCAAGGCTGGGCCCTGAAGACACTGGAGGGAAGCCCCAAGGCCTCACAGATACACACCTACTCATTCCATGAAGCCAACTAGAGCCCCACGGTGCTGGAAGATGCTCCACTGTGTTGGTTACAGGTAGCACAGTGGTGAGAAGGAAATGGGATGGCAGAGCTCAGCATTCTTGAGGTCACAGTGAAAAGGTTGAGAAGTATGGTTTCATTCTGGCACAAGAGAGAGGCCCCTCCAGCTGCAAGTGCTAAACAAACAAAATACGAACAACTCACAGTCATGTTAAGCTTCAAGGTCAGTAGAACTTGTCTGCATTCCCCTTGCCTCTTAACTTTGCTCAGAGCCAGTTTGAGATGGCTCATTCCCTTGAAAGCTGATATACCTCCACACATCTTGTAGCCTCCCTTAACTTTGCCCACTCTTCAGTAAATAGTCCCATCCTTAAATCCCCATCTGAGCAGGCTACCTTTTCTTGCTGGAACTCCTACCCGATGGAGCCAGGGGTTGTCTGGTACACCTCTGGGACCTCAGAACTATTCACGGTTGTAAGTAAATCCCAGATGCTAATAAAGATTTGTTTGCAAGGATCAATTCTGGTATTGTGGTATTCTTAATATCTACCTATGGGGTCTTGAGCTCGTGGTTTTCCCGATTATCACCACCCTTGTCACCTAGAGCTATTTGTGTTTTCCTAAAACCCCTGCTGCCTTTGACTCGGTATCACTTCACTGACTTCTAAAGGACTCTCCCCAGTAAAAGGGAAGTGATTCTGGAAATAAGTAAATAACAGATGCATGATGTCCAGTTGGAGCCAAGGTAGCGGGGAAGTAGGCTCTGATTTTCGGTGCATTTTGCATCCCTAGGAGCCTTTGTCTACTTGCTGTACATGCAGCTAAGAACTGAGTTAGAATGAAGCATTTTACCCATTGGGTTATTTATACCACATCTCAGAACATTTGTTTTTCTTA